AACCGGCCGGCCAGGAGGGGTCGGGGGGAGGAGCATATCAGTTGTGGGGGAGCGGGACTGACCTGGGCAGTGCAGATCCCACGGCGCTCTCGCCCCCCGCACGGTCCAGGCGAAGCATGAGTCAGTCTGGCTGCGGCTCCACCATGCACTTGACTAGCGCGCAGGAGCATGGACTGGGCTGCCCCTCCTCCTCACACGCAACCAGGGTTCCCAGCGCTGATCACACCCCGTCTACCAGCCGCTCCCCCCACCAGGCTTCCGGGTGCCCAGTCGGAAAACCAGAAAATAACAGACATTGCACATGTCCGGAATTTCTGGATTTTTTTTTACCGGACAGAGCCCCAAAAAAATGGACTGTCCGGTAGAAAACCAGACACCTCGCAACCCTAAGACATTAGGGTGTGCCTGTGCACACCCCGTACGCACGCCAGTGGCTAAGAGAGAAGAAGTAATAGGCCATCTCCTGCTGTTTCTCTTACTGCCAACTCAGGACTCTGGTTTGCACTATTGACTCTCAGGGATTTTTTTTAACAATGGTTAGCAAAATCATTAGTTATTAACCAGGGCTGTTTCATTATTAAAAAAAGGAAGAGAATAGCACAAATGATTGATCACAGATGATGAACAGGTTAGTTCCATTACAATCTCTTTTGTATATTTTCCTATGGAAAGCATTTGACAGACTATGCCCTTGAAACCTAAATAAATATTTAAATCGGTTACTTCTCAGGAATACAGAGTCTAATCACTTGATTAACAGGAGAAACAGGATTTTAAGTTACAACCACATTACAGTATTGTAGGTAATCATTACAGGAGTTTTAGATCTAATGCCTTTATGGTGTCTTTAATTTCCTTTGACAAATCCATGTTGAAGTTTCCTGGAGTTGGTTTCTTCTTGAGACATTTCTTTTTCTTATTTCTTGTAGAGGTGGACAGGATGAGTTATTAAGTGTTTGCTGTTTAAGCAGAATATAAGGGGTGTGAGTGCTCACTTCAGAATCTGATACCTTTTTTCTTACTTTTATGAAATTGTAAGAAAATACACCTCATTCATGCTTGCTTAGATTCAGGTTGGATGCTCTCACTCTTTCATTGGCTTCATACCTTCAGGTTTGGTTTAGGTAATACTTTGAGCACCTGAATATGCATTCTGTTTAATGAACATGCAACATTTCTTTATTGCCTTTGTTCTTGTGGCACGAAAGAGCCAGAAAATTCTTAATTTTAATTTTTTTTATTCAGTCCATTTTTACAGTCTTTCTTAATGAGCTTTTAATTCTCAGAACAACTTTTTAAAGTTATGCACTCTTAGAAAGTTTTTAGCTTATGTTCTACATGACAAGTTTTGGAACAATGATTCTTCTAAGAATGCTTGCTCATATCAATTTCAGTTAGGTGTGTGTGTGCTGTATGCACGGCTGCTGGAAAATTTTACCCTAGCTGCAACCTTTTGTGTAAGCTGTAGACCGTCGCTGGAGTGATGCTAGTGCAACACCTTATATATGAGCCTGCCCTCCGGACTGCCCCTCAGTTCTTTCTTACCATAAGTGAGGGTATTGAATCTTTGGCTGTCTTGCATTGCAAGCATCATTCATCCCTAACATTGTTAGTTTAACAATAGTTAACAGTTAGATTATAACAGAAGGGTTTCCCCTTCTCTCCTGTGTCCCTCCAAAGACCTGGGACAAGCCAAAGTCTGAGGGCTTCAAGCCATGCAATTCTTGCCTGAATTCTCTGCTGATGAGTGATCCTCACAACTCATGTCTTTGGTGCTGGGTGGGGAAGCTCATCAAGCGGACAAGTGCATGATCTGCAAGGCCTTCAAACTTCATACCAGAAAGGAGCAGGACTTTGGCTTGAAGCACCTCCTGATGGGATCTGCTTTAAGGCCACAGAGATGGGAGCTGGCATGGTGTGGTTCAGTTTGTAGCCCTTCGCCCTCGGTCCCGGTACTGATGCCCAAAAAGGACTCTCAGCACCAGTGGTTCCTGAAGACCTCAACCTGGAGCTGATCTTGCTCCCTAGCACAGTCAACTAAGGTAGCCAAGCCGTCAGCACTTCCAGTCTCTGCGTCTGAGGGTACTGATGCACTCGATCCTGCGGTATGGAGGTGTCAGTCTCACGTCAAGTATCAAGCCCAA